AATTTTTGGTTACAGTAAATCAATAAATCTGCATGTACGCGCCGGTACGAAATTACAAACAACAGCTCGCGAATGCCATGTTCTTTAAGAGCGTGCATGGTATCCTTTCGTCGTGTGTGAGCGTGAGATACTATAATATCCACCACTGTGGATCTCACGCTGCATTGCGAAATCATGAATTTGAGTGAAATACCGTAGTAAAAAAACACATTGTCACGTGGTACGAATGCTGTTCTTTTATAGGACAATTTGAATTTGAGGTATAATATATTTGCGTTCGACGAAGGAGAACGCTTCCTAATCGTGTCGATGTAACATTTGCCTCGTTCTGGTGTGAATAATTATGTGAATAATTATGTGAATATATAACAATGATATATAATTATGTCGTCATAGCGACTCGAAGACATTCTCGAAGACCATGATTTTTTTGTATTTTTTTCCATATTTTATTTGAAATGGTTGAAGATTATTGTGAGAGTATTAAAAGCTAAGTTGCGAAGTTTTATCGACTATAAAACCGACATTGAAAATCTCAACGGCAGACGCACAGTCAGCACAGAGCTGCCATGTTTTTAGTCCGTACGAATTCACAGCAGGTACAACTTTGCTCTGCGTGAAGGGTATAAATCACAGTGGTTTAAATGCTAGACCAAAATATTCTCTTTGGTCTTTGGACGTTGATGAAATAGATCTTGTTACATGTAGATATATTTTTTGCATAGTTTTGTTGTTCAAGAATATGAGTTTCAAAGCATGTTTTATTTTGATGATAAATATCCTGTTTTTAATCAATATACAAATGATCCCAGTTATTTTACTGGGTTGCTTTCGAGCACAATGACCATGTCGAATACAAGTCGTTTCGCCCTCAAGTCGTTTCGCCCCCAGTCGTTTCGCCCCCAGTCGTTTCGCCCCCAGTCGTTTCGCCCCCAAGTCATTTCGCCCCCAAGTGGCTAAGTCGATTCGTCTCAACGTTTCGTTAAGCCGGAATAAACTGTAAAGAATAAACCATAGAAATAATAGATATATCTATTATTATATATCCATATATCTATTATTTCTATTTGCAAGCTACCGTTACGCGTGCGATTTTTTTCATCAATGTTTACGTTTCAAACATTTTATATTGTCTGTTTCATTCCATAAATATTTGAAGGACGAGTATAATACCGGGATTGAGCCATTTTTCTATTTATAATTTGATATTCTTTCTTTTTGAAAGAATATTGTTTCGTTCGGCTATTGTCAAAAACTAATCACCGTTCCGGGAATTGTTTCGTTCATCCATTGTAAAGTGAACTAATCATCGCGTTGATCACCGACTTTGTCAAACCTTTTCGCGCTTTTGCTTTCGTTTGAAATGTTACGTTTTGTCAGTAATTCTGTCACTTTAATAGTGAATAGGTTTTTTATTTTTGCGCGTTTGCCGTTTGATCCAAATATGGGCTAGCTTGTTAGTTTGTATAGTTTGTAAGAGATAATTCACTAGCTCACTTGGGGGCGAAACGACTTGGGGCGAAACGACTTGGGGATACCATTATAACCCGGCAGAGGAAAGTTGTACTGAAGAATTCAGTAATTTAAACTATCATGAAGATATTGCCAATGCCAGTGACGTATTATATCCTTTGTACCAAAGGGATACCTACTTAAGAAATCTTACTTACTTTGTGGCCACAGCGAACACAATCAGTGCTAGTGATTATAACCCGGCAGAGGAATGTTGTACTGAAGAATTCAGAATTTAAACTATCATGAAGATATTGCCAATGCCAGTGACGTATTATATCCTTTGTACCAAAGGGATACCTACTTAAGAAATCTTAGTTACTTTGTGGCCACAGCGAACACAATCAGTGCCAGTGATTATAACCCGGCAGAGGAAAGTTGTACTGAA